GCCTAATGTTTTAAATCAGGAAGCGCTGTGAACTTCACTCGATCATCCATTTGTATCCACTCGAAATGACCTGGGGCCATCAAACTCCAAAAGCGAGAGAGGACCAATAAGACGCATTTCACTAACATGGGTCAGTCGCTAGATAAAACCTGAGCTTAAATATAACCAGTACGTAACGAAAATCGGTAGGTGTGGACGTGATCGACGTGTCGATCATAATGCAACAACACTTGAACATGCATGACCTGTTGAATAACATCCAGAGACAGTGAAAATCACCTGTGTTTACCGAGTAGTGAGGCATTTTTCTCTCTTTATACAGTATTACCCGATCGTTCTTTTTAATTCAAAAAAGAGTCTATCAGCGAAAGATGGCAGACATTGACAGTCCCCCACTCCACCCCCGTATACATTTGACCTCATGAAAACTTTTGCTCAAATACCACCATTTTATATATTTCTTTAATTCATTCTCTGTCACATTAAGTAATATGCTTGGTTTCCCTACGGCTTATATGGATGCTGATTATTGACACATTTTATTTCGTGACTTTGGCGGTATAATTGGTCGTTTCAACATGCACAAAATATTGCATTAAATTGAAGATTTTTGCTTGCAGTGAACACAAAGAGAATCGCAGGCTGGTTCCCAAAGAAAAGTTGTGTATGTGGACATGTGAAGCAGGTGCAGGAGTATCAGCGGAGCAGATGCTCCGATTACAAGAAGCATATTAATCCGTTTGAAAACATTTTGGGGGTTCAGTCGGATGGGGTTCAGTATAGCTTACAGTTTAGTTATCATATCCGATATTTCTATACATTTTAACGTTTATGGAACACAAAATACAGATTCATCCTCATTAAATGTTTTAAACTTTATCTCTGATACCGATATCATCATTGTCGTCGTTGTTATTTGGTCCATTTATCATTTTTCATATTATTATTGTTATCATTTCGACATTTTGCAGCATACCTTCTCCTCAACATTTTGAGGCTTTTCGTTATATACCACTTATGAGTAGATCATTTATAATTGTAGAATGTCGTCAGGAGGCATAAACGGTCAACATTAGACAGAAAGAAAGCTGGAACTAATATATGATCGATTTGTTAAAATCTCCACATTTCCATCAGAAAAATTAAATGATATCTTTCATAGAGTTTATTTTAGTTTACTCACGTATCACACCCCAGTTTAACGACCAAATCAGATACCAATGAGCAGACCGTATCCAACGTCTCCTTTGTGGTACTCAGTCGTGTTTCGGTTGTAGCCTGTTGCTCCTTGGTTTTATCGTTGGTTGTCTGCCACTCGGACAGAGCTTCCCGTTGTCCTCCAACCACTTTAGCCATTCGATCACGATAATTTGAGATTTCGTTAGATAACTTAAATATATACAGGACAGAAATATATATTTCACATTTGATTTTTCTATAAGCCGATTATTGTTCAGATGAAAATTGTTGATGTTGTGAGTAACCGGGCAAGTTCGAAAAGTTATCACTAATATTGTCTAAACGATTTTAAATACGACATTCAAAAAAGCATTGACTGGAAAACAAGGCCATTTGCATATATACAGGTATTGACAAAACTCGTACAACGTCCTAACGTTCATCACCTTTGTTCCTCTCAACGCTTAGTTTTTCCAGCCTCATTCACCGAAATGAATATGATATTGCCCCACATCAGACGTAGCCTATTCTCAATAATATCCCACTATGTTATTGCTTCTGTTTTTGCCAGTCAGATGTACGATTTATCGGTTTGGCAATGATTGCTGTTGCGTCAGTTGTAAAATAACAAAGCCACAGTAAAACACAACTAGAATCTATTAATCAAAATGATTCATGGACTTCAAACAGGTATTTTACTTTGATGTGGTCTATATTCTACTTGTCTTTATTCTATTTTGAGCACTGGAAACAGTCGCGTTAACATGGATTCTCCGAATTTGATTATCTCACAGAACTTACCGGTTTTATCTAGTACAAGCCGCACCCTAACCACTGAAGGTCGCTCTGGAGAGAACTAACTTATCGCTTTCTCCTAACACAGAGAGAAGTTTTCGATAACATTCAAATTCCAACAGCTGGGCGGCAATTAAATGAATTCGAGCTTGGAATGGGCCCCTCCAGGAGATGCACGAATTTGAAATAATAATATTTAATAAGGTGAAACGATTTTCTACTGCCTTCCCAATTGAGAGGATTTTCTAACTTTCAACTCTGAAAATTATGACTTCAAATGCATTTTGGGAGTGACAGTTATCAAAAATCTCCCTTATCATTGCAAGAAATTAAACGATATCCAGATCGGTATGTGCAGGAGAGCAACAGCAAGGCGCTCGGTATTTATTTTCTTTCCAACTCGTTAAGCAGGATGGATACTCACTTCTTTTGACAGGTAAAACGAAATTCATTCTAAGAAAAATCCGTAGATTAGCTTTCTCTGCCTCATGAATTACTCGTTGACCACTAGTGAGATAATCTCATTACCAAATGGACGGGCAGTGCAATTTGAATCTGTTGGTAAAATTGACAAGTGCACTGCTTTGTTGGGCGTTCAATAGTGGCCTCATCAGATGACCTCAGCTGCATTTTAAATCAAGCCATCATTTTCCAAACGCTGGCAGGAGGGAAAATTGGCTAATCCCCCTTGACTATTCTCTATATTGGTTGTGTGCAACCTTTTTCCGCTGCGATCAAATTCAACTATCGTCCTACTTCGTTGTGATCGTTTTTCTCCCTATGAGTTTATTTCTTGATGGAAAAATTCCGTTAATTGTGCAATAAATTAGGCTTATGTTCACATCGAAGTACTTGCACTAGTCAGGAACTGAGTTATCGGATTTATGTGCCTCTCGATTAAGTTGCCTCTCGGCTTCAATTATACCCCAAAATATCTTGGATGTTACATCCGGTTTGGGCACGGCGACACTATAAAACCCTTACTTAACCAGCCACCCACTTCAAGGTCAATTTTTGAAGGTCAACTTGTTTGTTTCCTGGAATATATTTTCAGTTGTTTTAGTATTAGGGATAACGCCAAATAATTTATTAATTTGTTAAAGCTAGAATATTTTCATTATTTGTCTAATTTACCGTACACTGAATAAAAAGAGACAAACAATTTAGAATGTATTAAGTTTATCAATCACTATAATTAAACAGAAAACATTCGTTAGAATGAATGGACTTCCATGATGCTTTGCATAAAATATTTTCCAAATCTGAGCCGTAACTTTCGAACTACACCAAATTTTATCGGGATACTCAAGATCGCGCAAATTGAAACGGTGACAGAAAAGAACTAAGAACATAGATGTTGGAGATAAAGCGAGGAATAAATACACTTCACCCATAGACACCATTATATAAGTATGATATTGCAAACTTAAATGTATATCCAAAAGGAGATTAATGTTGCACGATTTTGGTCAACATCTGTATACACATACATATATATACATATATATACATATATATATATATATATATATATATACGGTTAACACCATTATTCATAATGTTCTATCGGCTCTACCCATGTAGGTTCCTAACAGCTGCTTCACGTCTATAAAACCCTGATCTACTTCTAAAATCCATTCATATCTGCGGTCAGAATTATTCTTCAATGGCCGGCCTGCAATAACGGACAGTTTTTTCAGCCCTTTTGTCTACGTGCTGCTTGATGTTATAAGTACAAGACCGGCGAAGAGGTCCTCACGCAGTATTTATCTTCTCACTTACCTATTCACATTCGTCACGAAGCGTAAACGTTTCATTTTCTGAGAGGTGTATAGTTTGAACTAGCAAACAATAAAAAATGTTTTATTGATTTCCGCGTCAACTGGAAAGAACAGATCAAGCACAGTTGAGTAAGCTCGCGCTATAGATATAGATTTGCGAACTTCATTTTGCTTCATAAATGTGCAGTCATTGATCTGGTTTTAAATGGACCTATTTTCCTTGTTTGTTCAAATACGTGAAATTATACAGTACGTATTTAAATGCGATGGAAATGTTTGTGATAACCAACAAAGAGCACCGGACAGCTGTTTCGTCCAGTTTGGGACTCGTCAGCAGTGCGTACTTTTTGTGTCCTTGTCAAACATTTCAAACATTTCCATCGCATTTAAATGCATACAAACAGTGGGGGAATTAACGATCTCCCAAGGAGTGAAACCCACACCAAGAACCATCAAGAGTGCCTGGTGCCTCTGAACAATCGAATGGGCTAATCCAAGCTTGATACTCTATACAGTACGTAATTCGAAAAAAATGAGCCGCTAATAAAAACCAGTGATATTTGATTTGGAAATTATATCTCACTTTAATCACAAAAATGTAACACTGAACATAAAAATGTCGACTAACCTTTACTGAGTTCACTGAACTAAGTAACTCACGTTCTCATTTTCCTCGTTCAATCGCTCAATTTCTGCATTTGTCTCGCTGACATAATTGAATAGGGCAAAGTTCCTATCTTCTTTTTCCAAAAAGCTTTGGACTAAATTATCTGTATTCGTTTCGTCCATCACTTCAAGCATTCGGTCAAACGCCTGTTCATAGTTTTCTATCAATCGGTCCACTTCTGCGCGCCTCTCGTCCGCCTCTTGCACACGTTTCGCCTAGGTGGATTGCAAACAATAACCAACTTACAAGACATCACAGGATGAAATCTAAACTTTGATGGATTTTGTATTGTACCTTTACTTCTAAGACTTACAGACTTACAGTACCTCATCCTGACTTCTACTGAAAGCAACCAGGGGAACACATAACCACCCCCCACCTCAAACAGGACTAAACAACAAATAAATTCCAATCAGTGTTGTGAAAATTCGCTTGTTCACTCACTTTCCAAGCAGTTAACTGTGGATCTTCTTGCCGTTCGGTAGCTTTAATTTTCATGAAACTCTTCAGCTTTCTATCATGATCAATCAATCGCACAAGTTCCTTCATTTCGTTATTATGCTGCTGTGTGTCCTTCTCAGCTTTTTCAGTCAACTGTTGAATTCGTTGTGCTGCATCCTCCCTGTGAACAACACAGTGTTAACCACAGAATTGGGATAGGTAGTTGTTAATCAGACATGAGATCTTGCACACTATCAGAACGTGAGTGCATGGCGAGGTTCTAATTAATATCAGTATTCAACACTTATCAGGAAAACAGTGCGTGACAAAACATTTAGAGATACTCAAATGACTATGATCATACATCATCATCAACATTATACACAAATACACATCTTTGGCAGTTTCTTGTACTTTTGAAGTGGTGAAATGGCGGCAGTTGGTACCCAATCAATTCTCAGGAGTAGTGAAAATGTAACATAAATATGCATGTGCACCAGTTAACATGATGCGGATCACAGAAGCCTAATAAATTCTTGTATAACCTAACCGACCAAAACCGTTCACTTTCCGATTTAAAAATACATCAACGACGATACAAATCGCGAATCACAATTAATTCCTAAGAACTATGCTTGATTTTTTCCAGTTGCAAGATTTTCATCAATTGTGAAGTGAATAACAGTAACCAGAAATTCTCTTCATAAACGAACACAGCAGCAGGACGCCGGCGTACAACACATATTTGGCAACGAATAAGCAACACAGCAGCATATTGTCGCACAATTTTTTTCCGGAACTTTTTTGCTATAGCTCTTCAGGTACCTACTAAATTTAAAAATATAATGAAAACGAAACAGTTGCAATTATCGTAGATGGGCTATCAAGGTTAACTTCATAAAAGGTAGGGTCAGTTTCTTCAAAAAGCGTCTCCCGTTTCAAATAATCAAGCGCCTCGATAGACTTGTAAAACTTCGTTGCCAAATATGTGTTCTACACCGGCAGATTAATTTCACCATCTCCTGCAGCTCGCGAACAGATATCCATTGTGCTACTGCAAAAGATTAAAACTCAACAAGCTAAGACCTATACTAAATAACTGGAAAAGGTATACCAAATGCCAAATCAATCACGACAGAAAGAGCCTGGAACAATTAGTCAACATACAGGATCAAATCATCCCTGTGTTCAATGAACAGAACCTGATCTGTCGAATCAAGTTCATCTTCTGCGCCAAGGTCGTTGAGAAAACAAGGAAACATGTTAAGCGAAAGTTCCAGACCTTGCAAGATCATTTAGAGATTGAGACAACTTTCCCGTTCCACCCAGAGCGGTACATGAAAAAGGTGTCTTGTCTCCAGTTAAACCGGGAACAAATAGAGGCCTTATCATGTGGACTGAAATAATGCATTCCATCAAGGAAGACAAACGGAATCGAATCTCGGGCCCGAAACGAGTGTTTCATGGATCAGTTATCGAAATTGCAACTAATATCAAGCAATGCATACACTTGGCTCAAAGCAAAGTTCGCAGACCTGGAACATCAACACAGATACTCGCCTTCAAGATATAGATGTCTACAGACCACGAGCCACATAGAGTCACTTCACAAACTCACAGTGCGCGAAAACGTGATAATGTTGCAATCAGGTAAAGGGTTAAGTGTAGTTGTGATAGACAGATGTGATCACATCGCGAAAATGGAAAATACCCTGTAGGACCACACGAAATTTCGAGAATGTGGAAAAGAATATAGTGTAAATAACAGAAAAACGGTTCAGACGAGATACAAACATTTTTTGGAGGTGGTTTCCTGAACGAGTTGACCACTAAGCGTTTAAAACCACGAGGATCGCAGATGCCACAACTATACGGTCTCCCGAAATTACAGAAACCTCAGGTACCATTGAGACCTATCTTGTTATTGACGCGTTCGCCCCAACCTCAGCTACCGAAATGGCTAGTTAGAATATTGAAACCGTTTACCAAAGAACTATGTGTGCACAGTCGGACGGGCAGCTTTCAGTCGGTAGAATGTCTCATATTCGTGTGTGGGCTTCAGTCACCCAGAGACGCTGAAATCAGAACCCGCCTCCTGAACACCATCGAAAAGGACCCAAACGCCAACCTGCGAACGTTGACCGCCGAGTGCCAGAGAATTCTGAACCTCAAACAAGACTCTGCCCTCGTACAGGATTTCGAGCGCACTGCCAGAAAT